TTCTACTGCGCAGACTCTGGCTCCAAATGAATCTCTACTGCGCAGACTCTGGCTCCAAACGAATCTCTGTCCAGTCTATGGTTAGCATTGCACTGGTTCCCTCAACAAAAACCCAATAGAATTTTTCCATAGGCTTTTGGATTATCGCAGAAAATAAGCTCTGTGTTCAACCATAGTTCATGAAACGTACACGTTTTGTCCATCAAGATAATCTTCACAAAATAATAGAACTTTGATGAATTTTGAAGCCTAAATAAAAGCGCCAGAGCTTAAAAGCTAAACTTAGGCTACAAATGAACTACAGCACCACAGTCGCTCGCCTTCAGCATCACCACCACCACCACCACGCTTCCCACAACTTTTTAAAACTTGTGAAAAATTTTAACCCACACTACATGAACCTTTTCATATAAACTGGAATAAATACAAAACTAGAGCCAAACTAAAACTAAAATGAGACATTAGTAATAAATAGTATAGTGAATAAATTAAATAATCATAACTAAAGGACATATGAAAGCATGTATTTCTGTACATTTCGAAATAAGGTGCATTAAAAGTGAATAAATATTTGATTAATATGAATATTTTAATTTAAAACGTGTCTCCACGTGCTATTCAATAAAATTCTAGTGCATTTAATCTATTAAATAACAGCAGAGTGAGCAAGTTTTTGGACATGGTAAGATTAAACTTATTTTAGTGAATAAAGTACCATATTTCAGCTATCGTTTTGTTAGGATGGGTACACAAAATGTTATTTTATCCTTGCTTCTAGAAAATCCTCAATCTATATGTTTTCCAACAGCTTCATGTGGCCGTAAACATTTCATTTTAACGTGGCTTTAAGCACTATGCATCGTTAAAGTTTCACTTTCACCGTGACTAAGCCGGTAAATGTGGTGTTTACATGGAATAATCATAGGTGTTTACCATATGGTACGAACCCAGAGTCTCCGTATCAGTAAGCGATAAAACGAGCATCCTCCATCCGAAGACTTGTGTTGTATTTCGGGGCAAATCAAAAAAAAAAAAAAAGAAAAAAAAAAAAAAAAAATTGGCAAAAAAAAACAACTGTTCGGCATGATGACGTTTAATGTCTCGACAGCGCATGTAGTCCCATTTAGCAACTTGTTAGCAACCGTCTTTTTTAAGAAACGTAACAGTTTTAAAAAATCACGAGTGGGGTGTAACTGGTGTGCTTTATGTCGTAGAATAAAACGTGAACGTATCTTGAGCTTGGGTGAACCACGGACCTTATTTTAGGGGATTTAACCAAACTCCCATTAAAAAAAAAAATTGCAGAATAAAACGTGAAAGTATCTTGAGCTTGTGTGAACCAAACTCCCATTCAAAAAACCCATTGACTCTGGGATGATGGAACCGGGAATGCTAAAATGCTAACTTGCTTCAGGGTTTTTGCCTACAAAGTGACATCATAGTTCCACCACTTTATTGCACTCCTATTTAATTGTGCTCTGTCTGTTTGGCGCACATGCGCGCAGCGGCGCTCGTTCACTGAAGTCTGTGAAGTTTAGCGGAGAATCCCAAAGCAGAAGGCTCCTGCACTTCTGACAGAAAAATGGAAATGTTTCCATGGCTTTCTAACATTTACAGATGGAGAATATACCTGTGAAATGTAAGTTAAGCATTCAGTAAGACAGCACATCTCAAACACATTAAACAGCGCGAGTGTCTCTGTCAGCAGCACACGCAGTCTTTCAGTCAGAGCATCTGACGGGCCGAGCCGCTTAAACTAATATGTGAAACGAAACTATAAACTGTCTTATCAGTTTTTAAAGGCCTTAACATGAAGCTTGTCACATGTTTAGAACAAATTGGATCATGCGCTTTCTCTGCAGCAGCTCAGTCTGTGTCCTCCGCTATATGTTCAGATGCACACGTATCAAACTACTGTATATCGATATAAATGGTATTGCCACATATCGAATCGCTTATAAAGAAAATATCGATATATCGTACAAACTCGATATACCGGCCAGCCCTACTACAGATGCATAGAAGATGACCCATTTAAGTGATTTATTGGTGGCTTAAGTGTTTTCAGTGCATGTGCTCTGTCTCTACAGCTATGTGAAGGATATCAGGTGCTGGCTTTCTCCGCTTGTCTGGAATGGGCACAGGATCATTAGGTCGTCTCCGGAGCTTCCGGGTCATAATAGGTTTCACCTCCATGGAATCTAAAATGAATAAACAGACAGCCAACTAGGTTAAGGGTTTTAAAGGAATATCTTGCACAAAAAAAGAACTCAATCTTTTTCATACAATTGCAATGAATGGCAACTGAAGCTTTCAACCTTGAAAAATGATGTAAAAACTCCATAAAAGTATAATTAAAGTCTTCTGAAGTCATACAATAGCTTTGTGTGATCAAAATGTAAGTATTTTTTCACTGATAACTGTCCTCTCCAGTAAGTTAACCACATTGACTGGATCATTAAATCTGTGTATTGAATTGTGAACCAGTTCAATCTGATCTGTTAACAAATCATTCAGTTTGCTTTTGTAAATTAGAATAACGATTCATTAACAAAAGAATGGTGCATTTATGAATCGGACATTGCTACTTCTCTCGTGAGCTCAAGAGTGTTTTATCACTTTTATTATATTTTTGTGATGCTTTTGTGTCTTTTTGAAGCTTGAAAGTCCCTCAGTCTTTGTTCACTGCATGGAAAAAACCTTCTCTTATTGTGATCTGCAGAAGAAGAAAAAAACCTCATTCAGGCGTGGAATGGCATGAGGGAGTAAATGATGACAGAATTTCATTTTTGGGTGAACTATTGCTTCAAGATTTTTTTTCCTTTAACACAATAGAGAATAGCTAAACGTTCAGCTATAGGAACAGGATCTTATTCTCGACAACAGCAATACTAACAATGGCTTGCACAAAAACTCTCTCAGGTTGCATTTTTCTATCCGATCTCTCTTTTTCACTTTCTTACCCCCTGTCAGCTCCATTGTTAATTTCTCATTCTCGATCATCTTCTTCTTCTCTTCCAGCTCTGCAATAAGATTTTCCTTCAGTTCCACTTTCTTATCGTCAAATTCTTTCACCACTGCTTTTTTCTCTTTGATGTAGTTCCTCTCCACCTGCTCTGTCTACAAGACATTTAACATATATTAACCTGTCATAGCTGTTTCTTTCTGCAGTAATAAATCCACAGATACATAAAATGCATAATTTGCAGCTTACCTCAAGTTGTAGAAACAGGTCTGAAAAGATAAAGAGATTGGAGGAGAGAGACAGAAAATGAGAGCAAGCACAAATAAGAGATAAGCAGCATTAAAGGGGTCATATGACGTTGCTAAAAAGAACATTATGTTAAGTATTTGGTGTAATGCAATGTGTTTATGCGGTTTAAGGTTAAAAAAACACATTATTTTCCACATAATGTACATTATTGTTGCTCCTCTATGCCCCGCATTTCTGAAATGTGTCGATTTTTACAAAGCTCATCGTTCTGAAAAGCGAGGTGTGCTCTGATTGGCCAGCTATCCAGTGCGTTGTGATTGGCCGAATACCTCAAGCGTGTGACGGAAATGTTATGCCCCTTACCATACTGTGATGCCCTGTGTCCCGGCGCGACAAGGCAAAAACAATAAAACCCAGTACAAACGAGGCATTTGTTGCATCCAGTTTAATCATAATTACTGATTATAATGACTTATACTGTCTTTTTACGCGTTGCACATCGCACTGCGTAAACATAAAACCATGTCTGGAGAAACGACAAACAAGTGCTACTCTACACTGCTCAAAACTCGCGTTTGAATCATCAGTGGCAAATTCTTTAAATATAAAAAACGTACTTACAGGCTGTGAGTCAGATGCGCCAGACTGTCCTTGCAAAGTTGGAACTGCCCCACTTTATAGAAACAGACACCGGCATTGTAGGCTACTCTCCCAGGAAACAGTCCTCATCCTCC